CTTGTAGTTTATTTCCCAGCTCTGTTCAAGGTGTTGGGTTTTGATTTGCAAATCCCTCGACAGCAGCGGGGCTCAGGATGTCTGAAAGACTACAGTGGTGCCTCGCATTACGACGTTAATTCATTCCAGCAAAATCGCTGTAGAACGAAAATGTAATGCGAAAATAAAAAACCCATTGAAACACATTGAAACCCCTTCAATGCGTTCCAATGGGCTGGAAACTCACCGTCCAGCGAAGATCCTCCATATGGTGGCCATTTTCGGTGCCTGTACAGCGAGGAATCCATCCCAGAAAACTGCGGGGAGCCATTTTATTTACCCGGTGGCCATTTTGAAACCGCCGATCAGCTGGAGGAAAATCGTCGTTTTGCGAAGAATCGGTTCCCAAAGCAGGGAACCGATCATCGCAAATCAAAATTCCCCATGTAGACTATCGTTTTGCGATCGCAATTGCGATCAGGGACCATCGTTTTGTGATCGCAATTGCGATCGGAAAAAAGATTGTCGTAATGCAGGTTCATCGTAATGCAAGGTAATCATAAAGCAAGGCACGACTGTAGCTTTGCGTGCCTGAATTCTGCCCAGAGGTTTCATCGTAATGCAAGGCAATCGTAAAACAAGGCACAACTGTATCTTTGCCTGCCTGAATTCTGCCCAGGACCAGAGATTCACAACAGAGGTGCTACTACGTATCCCATTACCCCCAGAACCAAACCTGTTGAGGTAGCAGCCCCTCCAGTCATAGAACTTCCTCTCAAGGAGAGGCAGAGCGTTAAGCTTTTGACTGACAGCCAAGACCTTTGTATACCTTTTAAATCTTCCCAACTGGGTTAAAGCTGGTTGACACAAACGTTGGTGAAGAAAACTGGTTTTCAGAATTGGTTTTCAAAAATCATCTTCTATTTATTTTTTAAAGGTTTTCCTCCTTTTTTCATTGTTGCACTTTACTTTGAGGGCTGAGACACAATAAGTAAATACTTTCAGTAAATAAATAAATAAAGGCAACCAGCGTGACAGGATTTTCAACAACTGACTGGAAACTGAAGATCCTGCATTTAAGCGGTTGGGTTAGATTGGGGCGAGCAATGTATGCTCCCCACCCATGCCGAGGCCTCAGAGTTGAGGGAGGAAGGGTTAGGCTAGATTATCTTCAGGTACCCCCGTTCTGTGATCTTTGTGGTTATATCTTCATCTTCGTTCATTGCTCCGCCAGCCCAGCACTTGGTATGCATCTCAACTACCAAGAGCAAAAGGGGAGGAGAGGGAAAACAAGAGATATTAATTGGATATTACAGCAATTGAATATTAATATTCCCCAAACAGGGATTTCTACTCAGTAGAACTCAATCCCTTGAAGGTCACCTTGAGCTTTGCTATAATCACTCGCTTCTATCCACACACACACCCGGTCGCTCTCTGTTATTTCACCCTGCAGCAGGGAAATCGTAAAATCTCAGCTCCTCTTTCAACAGACAGTGATATTTTATTTTCATGCGAAGCTAAACGCAGGTTATTCGTCCCTCTGCGAAGCGTTGCAATACTGGAGATCATTTCTTCAGCACACGTCTCTAGAGCTCAAATACACACCGGCGCTCATTTTGTAAGACCGGCGTTCGTTCTCTCTCTGTTCTACTTTGAAGTTAACCGCGTTCCTTTTTCTGGAAGCAATCTTATGCTTTATTATTCACTGCAAGGAGTCTTATGGCGTCTTAAGGACTAAGACGTTTTTATCTAGCAGCAGCTTTTAGGAACTGTAGCCCACCAGTTCTAGATATCTTGAAGACCTTGCCCAACATACAACAGCCCCTGGACATCATCCCATCCATGGCTGCAATAGCCAGTTCATTACCTGGTGGCCACTGGCCGTTTCTGATGACGGACCTTCTCTCCCAGGCTGATTCTTCTCCTCATTACCTGGTGGCCACTGGCCGTTTCTGTTGTCGGACCTTCTCTGTAGTTAACCAGGCTGATTCTTCTCCATCCGTGGTTCCCAACCTTGGGTCCCCAGATGGACTACAACTCCCAGAAACCTTTGCCAACGCACCTAGTGGTGAAGGCTGTTGGGAGCTTTAGTCCAAGAACCTCTTGGGACCCAAGCTTGGAAACCATCGTTCTGCAACAGACATGAAATTTGCCCCCAATACATACTTGAGCTCTTGCTTGGTTGAAGCTGCCAGAACGAATGTCCTCCATAAACATAGTCTTTATCTACTTATATATCTTCAGTCGTAGGCGCCTTCATGCATGGAGACGTTGACTGAGAAGGACATTCAAGAAGGACCCATTCAGACTCAAAGATCACTTTCCAGATGACTTCTATAAACACACTATCATTTAAAAAAAAAAATAGAAATGCAATGTACCGACAATGTGCAAAATAATCTAGTGCTGTAGCTGAAATTCACACAATGAGCCCTCTAGCGTGGTCTCAGGGATTATGTACAGTTCATTTAGTTCCAGGAAACCACTCCAAACCTTGATTTTTTTTTTTTTTAAAAGAAAAGCATTCTGACTCCATCAAGTCAACATAAAAAAACGATGACGTCTGAAAATGTTATTTTGGGAAAAAGGTATTAAGAACCCATACTTCTGTATGGTGGCCTGTTGCGCAACTCTTTGTATCTGAGTTGTTTACTTTCTGTGAACTGCTTTGAGGGCTGTATTTCTGGGAAGTGAGGCATAAAAATAAACCCATCGTGATGATGCTAAGTAATTGCTTAATGATAGCCACCACTTAAAGGCTGACCTGGTTTGCCACCGTATCGGATCACACAAGGGGAGGAAAGAATGGACCCACAATTAGTTGGTCTACTTAATACCGTGGTTCGTCATGATCTGTGCCACGATCTCACATCCTCTCTCTTACTGTTGTTGTTGTTGTTATGTGATGTCAAGCCAACTGCAACTCATGGCAACCCTATGAATGAGCCATCTTCAAAAAGTCCTCTCCGCAGCTGCCCTTATAGACTCCTGTCTGTGGCTTCCTTTAGGGCATCAGTCCATCTCATGTCGGGTCTTCCTCTCTTCCTGCTGCCCTCATCTTTTCCCAGCATTATTGTCTTTTCCCAGAGAATCCTGCCTTCTCATGGTGTGCCCAAAGTAGGACAGCCTGGGTTTCGACATTTTTTCTCTCTCCTCCAGATAAAGTTCAGGTTTGATTGGATCCAGGACCCATTTGCTTGTCTTCCTGGCAATCCAAGGTGTCCACTAAATCCTCCCGATTGGAAAAGAATCAGTTGTCAGCTTTCTTTACCATTTCTCTTCCTTTTACCATTTCCCGTTATTCTTTTCCATTTCTCCTATTATCAGAGTTTAAAAAGCTAATCTTACCTTTAAAAAGCTCCTATTATCAGAGTTTAATAAGCAGTCCATGGCTGCTTATTTGAGATTCTTCTGAGAGACAGCCGTGTTAGCTGACCTTAGCTATGGAAACTTGTCTGTGAATAGCAGTAGGATTTTGATCCAGAATGAAGTTTGTTAAAAACGACCGCTTCTTTCGACTGGGGTTTGGCTGTCTTCCTGGCCAGGACCTCAGCAACTTTTCACGATATTCTGGAACACTTTAGCATCGAGCAGCAATCCCATAATGACCCTGAGTCACAGCTTTGCCCTTTAAGGTTGTGCCCACATGCGCCTCTGTCTCTGATACGACCAGGATGCCAGGAGACATTTAATCAGACCTGTAATTATGGGGTCTTTGGTAGCAGTGAAGTTCTCAGCAAAAAGAAGACTAAGGAGGCACAGCTGGCACCATAGCTCAAATGCTGGGGGAGAAGGCTCCACTCTACGTGGGATGGGGTTAACAATGTGCGCCATGCATGCGCTGAGAATGGATGGTTCTTCCAGGGGAAAAAGCGCTTCCGATCCCTGGAAGTGGACCTGATCCACGAAAGCTCACAGGAAAACACTGTATTGCTTCAGGGTTTGTTTGTTTTTGGGTCTGATCTCCTTATCAGGCACGTTTCTGATTTAAGGTGCCACAGCATTTTTGTCTCTTATTTCTGTATTGCTTCAGGGTTTGTTTGTGTTTTTTGGTCTGATCTCCTTATCAGACATGTTTCTGAGAAGCAGAGCATGGCCTGGCTTGTGTGTGTGTGTGTGTGTGTGTGTGTGAGAGAGAGAGAGAGAGAGAGAGAGAGAGAGAGAGAGAGAGAGAGAGAGAGAGAGAGAGAGAGAGAGAGAGAGAGAGAGAGAAAGTATCTACATACACAACTGCTCCATCCTATCAGGATCTATTCTAGAGTGTGACTTTTCTTTGGTTCATCCTTCATGGAAGATTCCTCTGCTGAGGTCCAGAGAGTCACAGAGAGAGATCATTAACTCCTTTTCCATTTTTCCTACAGTTATGGCAGGTTTTACCTCTCAAAAATGACGGAGGGGTATCATGTGTTTTTGTTGCATTTAAGTGATCACATGATGGTCCAGGTGGAAATCATGGCCAATGAAGGCTGATGACTCTAGTTTCTTGGGGGGGTGGAGGGTGGGTCTGCTCGGCATTTTAATTTGGAATTTACTGAAGGTATCCAAGGTGCTGTAACTGCCTCTAGGGTGGGTTTCAGCACCATGGTTAGCTCCTCTGGAGCGTTTTTTAGAGCCATTGCAAAGCCATTATTCTAGATAATATTGAGAAACAGAATGGTCCAGGGACTTCTTAAAAATGTAGCTCTCCTGCTCACTGACTGCTTTTCCTGAGCTTCAGAACGGAGATTGTCACCAACTGCTTTTTAAAAAAAGCAGTGTCCCAAGCTCTGTGACAGCTCTGGGAGGTTACACGTGCTTGAGAAAGGCCAGACCTTCTTGTACTATAAAATCCAGGATTCCCCCATCGCTGGTGGGTGACGGGAGATGTCGTCCAGCCATTTTAGAGGGTACTCGTCTAAGGAGGTGCCGGTGTGCTAACTGGCTCATCTAAACTGGGTTTAATAAATGAATACAACATTTAACAAATAAGAAAGACTGCTTCACTCTATAAATCATTTGTCTCTTCTTTCTTCCCTCAGTATTTCTGGCTGTTTGTCCTTTCGCGAGGGTTGGTTGGCATCGGAGAAGCCAGTTACTCCACCATCGCGCCCACCATCATCGGAGACCTTTTCACCAAAAACACCCGGACCCTCATGCTCTCTGTCTTCTATTTTGCCATCCCTCTGGGCAGGTACAGAACCACCCTGGGGGGGGGGCTCTTGATCCCTAGGAGGTTGGCAGGTCTTTGGGTGTCGGAAGTCTCAAATTCGAGTCTTTGGTCCAAGACCCAAGTCCTTATTAAAAAAAAGCTCTTTTTTCCCCCCAGGAAAAAAGGGAGAGGTGGGTGGGTTCTGAGTTGCCAGTGGAGTCTGAATCATTTAAAAGAAAAAAAACGAGTTGAGTCTAAGTCACCGGTATGACTTAAGTCCAACTTGACAGTGACTTCTGTGACTTGAGTCCTCATCATTCCTTGGTAGGTGGGTTTGTTGACCTCTTTGGTTGGACCTTTGATCGCACAATGTCCCGCATTCTAGAGCGCTTGGCTTGTTGGCCTGCACAAATCGGGAACGGGATCTCACCCCAAACCAGGGGATCTAGAAGCTACACATCCCGATCTCTGGACCTTGGAGGTCCGTGCTTTTCCCAAGACCCCCTACAATAAAGAAACAAGATATTTAGAGGGGAAAAAATCTCACCGCGCCCTCTCCCTGTGATTCCAGTAGCCAACGTTTCAAAAGAATGAAATGGGGTGGAGGACAGCATAGCAAAACTGCCGTCCAATACCCGCTCCACTTCCAAAGTGGATTTTCTTAACATCAGTTTTAAAAAAACATTAACTAGCTGTTTTGGAGGTGGGCTGCTGTTTTTGTTTGTTCCCTCCCAGTTTTTATATTCTTGGGCCGTTGGGGGCCTTCTCTTTGGTTCTCAGCCCCCCCTCCCTTATAGGATGCCTTGGCTTATTGTGTGGACTGGAGGAGTTCTCCTTGTCAACGGGCGTCTGACCCTGAATAAAACAAGGTTGGAAGGAAGGGTTGCCAGGCCGAGCCGGCCTCCGGATTCCAATCTGCAAAGCCATTTCCTGCAGAGAAGCCGGGCGCTGCTTGTTGATTTCCATGCAGTGCGGGAGGAACCGGTTTTTCCCATTAATGTTTTGGGTGGGAAAACATCTATGACCGGACGGAGAAGGCCATATCCTGGCTTCGGGACATCCAACCTTGGAGACAAAGGCTTGAAAGCTTTCCATTTGCCACTTGCAGGGGGAAACGTCCCAGATTTCTAGCTTTCCTAAGTCTGATGAGCGAAGCTGGTGTTGAATAATTACTGGAAGCTGAACCATGGCCCTCGATGTGGGCTTTCCAGTCAGTGTTCATCTTTATACACCAGGTTGAATCATTCAAGCAAGAAAAGAAAAAAACCCACTATCATTAGCTCTAACTCTAAGCTGGTGGCTTGCGCTCTAAGAATATTGCAGGCATTATTCGTATAGCTGTAGGGGGTATAGTGGAAAATTAAAATATCAGGCACTTGTAACAAATAGTTGGCTGTCTGCCCCAATGAGAGCCCAAAAATATGGGCTGCTGGATTGATTTGTATCCACTAAGGGCAGGTCTTTTGTAAAGCTAATGGTTCTTTACTGTCTGTTCAAGACCAAGCCAACATCCTATATTTTACTCCTACATTACTTTACTGTACGAAAAGCAGCAGCACTATGGCGGAGGGCAGGAGTGAGGGGGTAAAAAGTGCTGGATGGGGAACTCTGTTCTTTCTTTAGCTACAGGGTACTTGAATACATGTAATTTTCCTCTCGACAGGATTTGAATGGCTACCAGTAGACTACTAAATTGGTAAAAGTATGTAAATGGAATGGTAAATGTTCATGTTGCTTTAAATTGGATCAGTTAGCTGGTTCTGCGCATGATGGAATAAGTGTAATCAGGACCTATCAGGAAATCAAGTGGACTAGGAACCTGAATAATTGAATGAAACAGTGATTTGTTTTCTTCTTTTTTTGGTTTATTTTGCTATACAATAAGACTCCTGTATTGGTTCCAAGCCCCCCTCCCAGCTGAAAAATGCAGATTATAGCTAACACTATTGCAACAGCAAACACTATACAGTGGTGCCTCTCTTAACAACGTTAATTCGTTCCAGCGAAATCGCTGTAGAGCAAAAACGTTGTAAAGCGAAATAAAAAAGCCCATTGAAACACATTGAGAACCGTACAATGCGTTCCAATGGGCTGAAGAACTCACCATCCAGCGAAGATCTTCCATAGGGGTGGCCATTTCGTTGCCTGTAGAGTGAGGATTAGCGAAGATCTTCCATAGGGGTGGCCATTCTCGGTGCCTGTAGAGTGAGGATTCCGTCCAAAAACACAGCGGGGAGCCATTTTGAGCACCCGGTGGCCATTTTGAAAACCCGACGATCAACTGTTTTGATCGTCGTAATGCGAAGAATCAGTTCACGAAGCAAGGAAAGATGCGAAGAATCGGTTCACGAAGCAGGGAAAGCAACAAAAAAGAACCATTTAAAACACTGTTTTGTGATCGCAACTGCGATTGCAAAAACATCGTCATGAAGCGGATTCATCGTTATACAGGGTAATCGTTAAGCAGGGCACGACTGTACATAGAATGGTCTCTGTCTCCCTTGAGTGGCCAGGTCTGGTAATTTCATATTTAGAAATAAATACTGTGGATAAGTGAATCAGCAGATACTGGTCCCATGGATAAGGGGGTCCTACTATATATAACAAAGACCATATGTACTATTTTGCTGCTTTATTTTGTGTTTTTGTTTCCTTTTCTTTTCCAGTGGCTTAGGATACATCACCGGTTCAAGTGTGAAGCAAGTAGCTGGCGACTGGCACTGGGCTTTACGAGTGAGTAACACCCTCCTTCTCTGGTTAATAATCTCTCCAAAGGTCTCTGCCCTTCTGTGCCCGATTGAGGCTCAGTTCATCAATACTGCCGAGGTTGGCGGGAACAATGGGGGACCTGCAGCAAAATGTTGCTGTGTCAAGTCAGGAGGCCTTTGTCTGATTCCACATAGTCCGCTCTGCATTTGAGTCTGAACTGTAAACAGAACTCTCCTTGGAGTTGAACCCTAACCCTCCCACCAAGAGGTTCAGCACTTTGGAGAGCTCCCGGGATATCCACACGTAAAATCTGGTGTAGATCCACCATCCACAAGAGGTTGGGAGTCACTAGCCCTGACTGCTTGGAATGGCAGATACTCTCTGATGGCCAGAGACGTCTGCCATCTGGTGACTGGAGATGGTATTGCAGGCAACTAACAGATGAAAATTAACAGAAATTAACTAATCCACTTTAAAAACTGGATTGTCCTGAGGTGCCCTCCTTAAGGCCACTGGCCATACTTGCTGAGAGATACAGAGACTTATAGACCAAAAAAAATGTTTTTTCATTCTCTGGCATGTAACCCAAGTTGTTTCGGCTTTTTCCACAATAAGTTACATATACAGGGTGTGCTTTCTATGCCCCTAGACCATCTCTGTGGTTCTCTTTTGAACTCATTCCAGTTTGTTGGTAAATCCTACTTAAATTGTGTCTCTCTGAGCTGAAATCCACTAGCTAAAGAATTAAATCTATTTCAGAATTTAGGATGCTTCTCGTTTACGGTAAACTGTCGCCTGGCCAGTAAACCCAAGACAGTAACATTCCACCAATTCCGCTCTTCGTAATTCCTTTTTCTCTTTTTAATTGCCATTTTCCTTTTTTTTTTTTTTTTTTTTGCAGCCCTGGGGTAGGTGGGGGGGACCCCTGGCTTGCCTGTTTTGGCCATTCGGCCTTCTGCTTCCTCCTGTCTGATCCCAAAGGGGACGCTGAAGAATGTATGGAGAAGAGGCTCATGCCGTGTGTAGAGCAGGCAGAAGGATCGGGGGGGGGCTGGGGAGGAGAGAGGAAGAGCAGGAAATGAAACAGAGAAGCTGTTTCCTGACCTTTGGCCCCAACTTCCTCTCTTGGCAATGGAGAGACAACCTTCATAATCTCCTCATTGTTGGGTTTTTTGGAGGGCAGGACACCTTTCTGAAGTATTTAGTATCGGAACTGTCGCATTCCAAGCCTGGAGTAAATATTTGATTTCAGGAGAGTTAAGCCTTGGCTGTACTTAAATCAGGAATTTTTTCTTTTTCCGGACGACAGCTCCCACCATGTTGGCTGGACGATTCTGGGAGCCGTCGTCTCCAAACATGCAAATCCGTCAAAACTCTTGTTATTTGTGCTTTTAAGTGCCGCAAAGTCCTTTGCATAGATCCGCACCACACCCACTGCCTTGCACAACTGATAGGTGAATTGTGTTCTTCATCTTATAGTCAGGGGTGCAAGGTGGATTGAGGCTCAGCCGGGGCAATCTGCCTGTACATGTAGTGAGTGCATGGCAGGGGTAAGATTCGAACCAGGCCGCTATCTGATTTGTTGTGCAGTCCCTTTAACCACCGTACAACACCAGTTCCCCAACCACAGGACAGAATCGGGGTGATCCCATACCGTGAACAAATTATAATTAACTGTCAACCCTGTTCATTGTGGGGTTTTTTAATTGTTAATTTCTTAGTCGTGATTTGTAGCTGTTTTCTTTTGTTTGAAAATTAATAAAAACTTTTTAAAATTAATAAATTCACAAATAGAATACTAGGATATCATCGAGTACACACTGCATTATACTAATTTTTATGTTCAGCTTGTGTGGGATTTTGAACCTTAATTCATTCATTTGTTTTTCATAAGGGAGTGTTGAAACATTCTCTGAACTAGTATATCTCACTTTGCTAGCTTGGAATTGGCTTCTCCCTCTCCCTTCTTATTTTCTAATACAAGGGTTCTCTCTTCGGCTCAAATGATAGAAAAATGGATCCAAACAGCTGTCTTGGTTAGTGGGTTGGTCGCTTTTGAATTTTTTTCCCCATCTGGTGATTCCGATTCCGTGTAGTGGGGCAGTTCATCCGCACCCCATTTGACCCAGAACTTCGTAGGTGTTGTCCAAGGTCCTGAACCCGAGCCTTCAAAATAGATTCAGCACCATGGAGACCTCCTTTTAAAGTCACACTCTACTCTGGAGCAGATCTACTGCTGTCATGGAATGCAAATGGCTTCTCTCCCTCGGGGCAGGACTCTGCCATCTCGTGGGCAGTCATAAATCTGGATCGGGGCACCATGCAGCGTTAACATTTCGGCTCTTTCCCTCTCCTTCCTTCCCCAGGTTTCGCCCCTTTTAGGCATGATCACTGGGACGCTCATCTTAATTTTTGTTCCGGCGGCAAAGAGAGGCAACGCCGAACAGCTGGGGGCGCAGCTGAAAGCCCGGACCTCGTGGCTGAGAGACATGAAGGCCTTGATCAGAAAGTAAGAGATGAGGCACAGTTGATTTCTCTAGCGGACAGCTTTGAGCGCCATGTAGCAAAGATAGTCCAAAGGGAGGAAAATAAGTCTTAAAAGGAGCCTCAGCTTCCTCACCTGTTGCTTTGCACTCAAGTGGGCCCATTGGAATCAATGAAAATTATGGGGGAGTTGACTCCGCAAATCCCCACTGATTCAATGTGTCTCATGCCATTGACTAAGCATCAGTATTTCAGATCCTGGGAAATTGCATTCATGGATTACAAAACCCAGAATCCCCAGTTGTAACTTTCCCAATCTAACTCATTGTCTCCAACCACTCCCCTGTGTCCTATGCAGAGAGGGGAAGTTTCTTTTCGGACTACAGCTCCCATTCTCCCCAGGTGGGAGATTCTGGGAGTTGTAGTCCTTCCTCTCAAAAAAAAGTAGTTTTCTCATGATCTGTCTCCTTTTCCCCAACTCTGTGCCCATTGCAGAGACACCTATTCGGGTTAGAAGATTTTGGGGCCTGTTTTTTTATGGAGGTATGATGCTCGTCGGTGATCCCGTGGACTGCACAGCATAAATTTATGCCACAGAAGTGATACCAGCTGTCCATCAAACTCTTTGAGCTTATTTATATATCCTGGTCTTTAGACTTTGTAGTTTACAGTCCTCCAGAATCTGGGAGTTATAGGGTTTTTTGGGGGGGGGACACACACCGGTATTTGAGTGGAACTACAATTCCCAGTATGATCAAGCGACACCTCCCAGCCTTCTTTGGAAAACCTCAAGAGGTCGAGCTGACATCATGTTTGTAGGGTGGGTCTGTTCCCCTCCCTCTTTCCCATGCTCCCCTCCCACCCTCATACATTCAGGATGACTCCTTTTATTTCCTCACTTGTGACCTCTTTCTCTCCCTCCAGCCGCAGCTACGTTTTCTCCTCTCTGGCTACCTCAGCCGTCTCCTTTGCCACAGGAGCTCTGGGCATGTGGATCCCCCTCTACCTCCACCGGGCGCAGGTGGTGCAGAAAACAGCCGAAACCTGCACGGCGCAACCCTGTGGGACCAAGGACAGGTGAGGCTTAGTGCTGGCTTTGTCGTTCATTTGGAAATCTCAGTTCCAAGGGTGAGGAGATTCTCCAGCTCAGGGGCTGGATTCCTTACAGTGGTGCCCCGCATGACGACAATAATTGTCCCATTGGAATCGCTGTTTAGCAAAAACATCATCTAGCGAAAACCGTTTCCCCATTGGAATGCATCGAAACCCGTTTAATGTGTTCCAATGGGGAAAAATCCTTGTAGTTCTGCGAAGATTGCCCATAGGGAAGCCATTTTACGAAGTGCCGATCAGCTGTTAAAATGGCTGCCCTGTGAAGCATCGGTCCCGAAAATACCCGATTGCAAAGCGCCGATCAGTGGCAAAATTTTCATCATGCGGAAATCGGTATGCGAAGCAGGGACCCAAACATCATCCAGCGGAAATTGCCCATTGGAATCACTGTTTTGCGAATCGCTATAGCGGTCGCAAAACCTCATCATTCGTCGTTTTGCGAGGTCGTCGTCTGGCGAGGTACCACTGTATTTGGGGACGGGCTCAAGGCCTCCCATTCCAGAAATAACTGGGGTGAAGGAGTTGCATCAAAGGCAAAATAGGATCAGGGGTGTAATTATTTTCTTACTCTTACCTAGCTGCCAGTTGGGCAGGAAACTAATCAGTTGGACGTGAGCCGTATTCATCCCGTAGACCAGAGGTTCCTTCTTCGTGTCCCGTTCAATCAAGTGTTGCTCACTCTCCTTAACTTCTTAAAAGTTTTTTTTTGGGGGGGTGGGCTTGCAAAAGAAAGCAGGGCTTGCGTGTCAGAGCTTCCTAGAGGGCCTCTGAAGAGTAACCTTGTTATGTGTGCCTGGTTTCAGATGTCTAAGGTTCTGGGGGTCTGGATTTGGAACAAAGATAGCTACAAGTCGAACATAAAATGGATATAAACATGATGTGAATGTGATTATCTTTCTGTTTGTTTTTTTTGCTGGGAACCCACCTAAGGCTTCAAGTTCTCGGAAGAACATAATGGTATCTCTTGACTGTTATTTTGCTTCTCCAAGTGAAGTCAGCTCACAGAATTTCAAGTAGCTGTTTGATAGAAAGCACTTCTAATTTTTCAGTACCTCCTTGGCTGGGTTGACATTTTTACCCGGGCGTCTAGGTGCCTGGGTGGTTGTTGATTTTAACAACACACTGAGGTTTGAGTGCTTATCTAATCTAAAGGCAGACAAGTGGGGGGTATATTTTACACATCTCAACAAAAGGTGTTTCTTCCAATACTTGTGCCTAATCTATTTTAAAAATGAGAGAAACGAGCATTTCCTTGGAAGACAGTTCTCCTAGAATCAGCACTGGTTGAGTTTTGCAGAATTTCCCTTACCACGGGGGCTCTCATCACCTCTCTCTCTCCTTTTTTCTTCTGGCTAATCCATCCCCTTCTTGTCTCTCGCTTTTCCAGCTTTGCATCTAATAATGCAAGTGCCCCCCACCCCCAGTAAGGGAGACATGCCTTTATTTTTGTTTTGAATTCTTCCCTGTCCTTAGCTTGATCTTCGGGGCCATCACCTGTTTCACCGGATTCCTGGGCGTGATCACCGGGGCCGGAGCGACCAAGTGGTGCCGGTTGAAAACGCAGCGGGCGGATCCGCTGGTGTGCGCCGTCGGGATGCTGGGCTCCGCCATCTTCACCTGCCTCATCTTCGTGGCGGCCAAGAGCAGCATTGTGGGCGCTTATGTAGGTATTAGATCTGGAAAGGGATGAACGGTTCTCGCATCGGTCGGTCGGTCACTCTCTGTCCGTCTGCCCACCTGTCTCTCAGTTCATCTGTGCAGTGTTGGTTCTGGATTTGGGGAGGGGAGAACTTGGCCAGGTTCATCACCACCATCATCACACTATTCAATATTTGTATGGTGCTTTTCTTAGCTTAAATATTTGTATGTTGCTTTTCTTAGCTTAAACATTTGTATGTTGCTTTTCTTAGCTTAAATATTTGTATATTGCTTTTCTTAGCTTAAACATTTGTATGTTGCTTTTCTTAGCTTAAATATTTGTATGTTGCTTTTCTTAGCTTAAATATTTGTATGTTGCTTTTCTTAGCTTAAATATTTGTATGTTGCTTTTCTTAGCAGCCCAACCTTTATAACTGGAACATTTTACAAGTACCTGTCTAACACGGTGATTCCCAACCTTGCGTCACCCAAGTATTCCTGGACTACAATGCCCAGAAACCCTGGCCCAACACGGACGGTGAAGGCTTCTGGGAATTGCAGTGCAACAACCCCTGGATGACCCAAAGGCAAGGGACCTAACCTGATCTAACCAAATGTTCAAGTTTCTTCCAAAAGAAAATCCTATTGGAACTATCAGGTGGACCGTAAAATCCATCACCCTCTGTTCAGTAGCATCGTAATAAGAATAGTGCTTGGAAAAGTTACTTTTGCGGACAACGCACCCCACAAGATTCACCCAGCCTGCGTGGGCAGTTGGATTCTGAGGACTGTCAGCCCCAAAAGTTGTATTTCCAGTTAATAACTGCAGCAAATTCTGAATTTATGAGCCCTTCTAAAGCTTCTGTGAGTCAACCCTACATGTGTCTTGTGTTTCAATGGCAGGTCTGCATTTTTATCGGGGAAACTCTTCTGTTTTCCAACTGGGCCATCACCGCTGATATCCTTATGGTAAGTGTGCTCGTACTTAAGTGTGCTTGCTTGTATACCACCCTGTAGTGCTCAAACCACTCTCTGAGAGGCTTGCAATATGATGATGCAGACTACACGTCGCCCCTCTCCCAGAGAGTTGGGTACTCAGTTTACCAACCTTGGAAGGACAAAATGCTGAGCCAACCTGCTTCTGCCTATTATATAGATGGGCCTGTCCACACTAACATATAGAAATAGTATATGGATCGCTGACGGCACAGTTTGCATTTTTAAAAAAGACCTTGTCTGCAAGTGTTGCCACTTGGAAGGATCCATCTTCCCCCTTTAAGAGTGGCCACACACCTTTCTGGCCCAGGCACAGGGCATGCATTCTTTTTTGGCATGTTCGTTATTTAGTGGGGAAGCTAACAGCCGTCATGGCTGTCAATCCGAGAGAGAAAGTGGAGGGAAAACAAGGGAATGGAAGCAGGGAGGAAGGAAGAGATAAAATGAAAGAGCACTGACAGAGGGAGACAGGAAAGGCATAAAATAACTCACTTCCCCTGATCCTCTGCAGACGATCAGGGGAAGCACTTAATTCACAGTTGACCAGGCAACAAGGGGACGTTTGCTGTTTGGATGGGAGAATCACTCCAAATGGCACCTTACTCCTCCCCACCTGGATCTCAACAGACCCTTTGTAGCCGGATCCACCCCACACCCCAAACTGCCAGTCTAGACAGGCCCATCTTTCCTTTCAGTTCTTCCTACAGTCATTTGGGGCCGACAATCCAGCTGCGGATTTTGGAACTTGTAGTCACCCCCCCCCCCAGGAAAAGAACTTGTCCAAGCTCTGATGCAGAATTCTTTTGTGCCACAAAAGCACAGGGCTTAAGAGCTGCCTTCCGGCCATCCTATAAATAGCCTGGCTTGGGTTTTGTGGTGGGAAGAGGCCATGAGTGGCAAAACCCCAGGCTTTCCTCCTGGTCTCTACTTTGGGGAGGTGAGGTTTGCCTTCTCAGCTCTTCCTTATCCTTCCGGAGCGGTGGGTGTGGTGCCGCTGAGCACCTAGCAACCAACTAACGATCCCACACTCTTCCTTAGAAACGGGCCGGCTTGGCTCACTTTGGCCATCTTTGGCAGGATGATTTGAGCCGGCTCTTGTGGCGTGACTTTTGGGTTTGGCTCTGTGGTTGAGCTAAAAACGTCGTCTAGGGTCGGCGTCCTATTCAAAAGTGGACGAGTGTGCATGTTTTCCTGCTGGGCTCTCCCACACCGACCATCCTGTGGCATTTCATGGAGGACTCAATCAAGCACGCTCCGTTGTGTACACAACCTTGTGGGTTCGCCGTCTCTGGCCAACAAAATTTGGTGCGTTCCGGAGGCCATTTTGTGTTGCGGTCCCGTCTACCATTTTGTTTCCCTGCCAATTTATTGTCGGCGGCGCTGGGGGAAGCTTCTTTTGTGGACTACAAAACCCTGAATCCCCTAACATGTCTGACACACACACACACAAAAACAAACCCTCAGCTTCTACTGTCAGAAAGAGGCAGGCAATGAACCCAAGAAGCTTGGTTAACGACCTCATGCTTCACAGAGCTTGGGCAAATTACAAAACCCAGGGAGACCCAATCCTCTTTCAGACGTGAAGCTCCGTAGGTCATCTGGAGCCATCTGCCTACCCCTAACCCTAACCCACCTCACAGGGGTGTTCTTTTGCAGTAAAATTGGAGAGGAATTCACTGTAAACACTACCTTGAGCTCTCAGGATCTATGCCGTGAATGAATATACCTGCAGCTTTGACAGCCAGTGTCAAAATGAATTGCAAGTTTATACCTGCAGAAGAGAAATCACATATGTCTTGGCACCAAAGGGTTGATTAATGAGGTGCTGGACGTATTTTGGGCACGCGCACCCAGGAACACAATTAGGACCTCATTGGTGAGTGGCTATGAGCCACCCAGATGTATGTGATTTCCCTTATCTAAGTGGAAACCGGCAGTAGAATTTTGGCCTGATTGTATGAAAAGTAGTATTCAGCTGCTAAAAATGGATTCCTCGTTAATTAGGCCGGCTTTTTAGAAGCAGATGGAAATATCTTAGCTCACTCATCCTATTCAGCTGGTTCACTTAGGCCGGCTTTTTAGAAGCAGATGGAAATAGCTCACTCATCCTCTTCAGCTGGTTCACTAGCACTCATTATTGAGATTCCAATAATTGCCCAATAAAGATAGGAAAAGAAGTCCCTCAAATGCATGTTGGAGTAAAGGTTAGAAAGCAATCGGATGGTTCAGTTTATTGAAAGCGGTGGCTCTCTTTTTAATCGCTTATGCCTTCCTCTTTCTTCTTTTCTGCCTCTCCAGTATGTAGTTATTCCGACGCGACGTGCGACGGCTGTAGCTTTGCAGAGCTTCACGTCACATCTCCTGGGAGATGCCGGGAGCCCGTATCTCATTGGCTTTGTAAGTGACCGCGATGGGGCGCCCGGGCCAGGGAGGCGGTGCGGGATTGGGGCCCTTAGCCTTCTTCACTACGTGCACAAATATGCAAAGACTTCGATTTCCGTGCACAAGTTTCCGCAGACTAAACGACAGGAGTGCATTTTTGCTATAATTTGTGCAGAAACGCTGTACATCTCAGCATAGAACGGAGGTGGTAGGTTGGCCGAGTGTCCTACTTTATATTTTTTTAAAAAATAATTGTGGCGCGATCCGTGATAAATCACCAACATTCTTGAGCAGGGATGGAATCCAGAATGGCTTGCAGACTCTACTTTTGATCTGAGGTTCCCTCCCTGGTCTTATCCTCAAGGGACATTGTCTGGGCCATTAGAGGAATTCCTGAGGAGGTCCCTGGACATGTTGGCTGGAGGCTAAACAATGGGAAACCCCCGGGAACAATGCAGGAAAAGAGCCAGTTTCTCCTTCAGGCTTGTTAAGACTTGTTTTTCCTGTGAAAGCCAAAACGCTCGCACATATCTCGGGCGGGGAAGCAATCTGTTCTTCTTGACATCTTGAATAAACTCTGCCCGACTACAACTCCATCACCCGGAAATGTAACAGCCTCTCGTCCCCCGAAGAACCTTGTTTCCCTCTCCTCATCTCTGTTTCCTCCCTCTAGATCTCAGACGTGATACGCCAGAGCACAAAGGAGTCGGCGCTCTGGGAATTCCTCAGCTTGGGCTACGCGCTTATGCTGTGTCCGTTCGTGGTAGTCCTGGGGGGCATGTTTTTCCTGGCGACGGCTCTTTTCTTCCTCAGCGACCGGGCTAAAGCGGAGCAGCAGTGAGTATTTATTTCTTTAAATGTATTTGAAATACGTTTGTCCTGTCTTTCTCCTGCAAAAGGAGCCAGTACTAGCGTGCAAAGCAAGGAAGTACATGTGTTTATTTCAAGCGCTTACACGCTGCCTTTCAGCCAAAAAACTACTCCAGCACTGGCATATGAGAGGAATATCACAGCTTCTGCCCTCATGTCTAGCATTCAAATCTCGGAGTCCTTCCAGGTAAACATTTGCTCTCCTAAAAGGACCCCATTCTGCACTGATATTGTTGTTATCTGTCCCTTCGTCCACACAGCATTCTGTGGCAGAGTTTTGAATTTTTGGTTAAGTTCCTCTAGCTGTGCAGCGGAAGTGCAGGGATTCACAAAGCAGAAAAGTTTCGATTTCCCCAGACTGGCCCACCCCTTTTCTTTCATTAACTGACACTTATAGTCACAGTAACTCTCTTTGAGACATAAATAAGAAGAAAGAATAAAAGGCATCATTACTTACGGTTGTCAGCAGATCAAGCAGCAAACAGACAAACAGGACTGCTTTCAGCAACAAACCTCAACAGACTCACTGATTCCGGCTGACTCAGGAGAACGAAAGAGACACGGAGCAAAGAGGCGGGGCTCTCTTTGGATTCAGAGGCAGGGAAGGAATGATTGGTTACTGCTGGATAGATTGACAGTCGCCCCAGCCCAGAAAGGTCCCACCCAGGCAAACCTACTAAAGGCAGCATGCGAGGTTGCCAAAACTCCCAACACATTCCTCCTATCTCACTTTGTACAGTGTTTTTTCTCTGTGTCTTTTCACTCCTTTTTGTTCGTTTTGAGAGAACTGTGTCTTTTTAGCGAGGCTTTGTGCTGGGGCGAAGTTTAGGGCTACGTCCCCTCCCATTTGCCGTTGATTTCCACCCCGAGAAGCCTCCCTGCCAGAAGCTTTCGGTTAGCACTTTCACGAAAGAAAGATGCCAGCAGAGAAAAGGGATTTCTTAAATATTTCCTAAGGAGAAAGCAGATTTCTTAAAGAAAAGTGGATTTTTAAAAGCACAGTTTGGATGCCAATCCCGGCACGCTCTGGCTCCGGAAGAACCGTGGGTCATGATGCGCAAAGAGGAAAAGACCGGGAGGAAGGAGAAGAGGCGAGAGAGGGGGGTGGCTTGTTATAAAGCAGGCCTGTGAGTCTATCAGAGGGGGTCATACCGGAGCACAGAATCCTCTCTCAAGCTGCCGTTTTTCCCAGTGTTTGGAAAAAGTTCCTTTTCTGGACTACAAGGCCCAGCCTCTTGCCAGCCCAAGGGCTCCAGAAATCAAGGTAACTTTTTCCAAGCTCTGATTCTATCCGAGGTTTTGATAACGGTTGGCTCAAAAGGAATTTTAAAAAAAACAGACCAATGTGGGCTACCTGTTTTTCAGTACGGATCTGGACCACCTCGCCATTGGTAACTCCACTTATTCAGAAGACGCTGTCACACAGTAACCACGAGAGATTTCTGAGGGTTAGTTTGTCTTTCTTTTTTTTTCACCGTTCTTTTTTTTTCTCTTTAAACTTTTTTCTTTGCTTTGCTAAAGAACGGGAAACCTACCATATATATATATATTTCTCACACCAAAAGAAAACACAGAGAAAGCTGATTTCTTCCCATCAGGAAGAGTGAGTTTCAACACTGCCCAAGGGTACATATTTTATTTATTTTATTTTATATTTTTGTGGGAGGCTCTTCCAAAAACATGTGGTTCCTGAGGCGTATTTGTGGTGGTGCTTTGACGTTATGTGATGGATTTTTTTAAAGTGGGTTTCTGAAACCCCTGTGTTTATCTTAACGTTATTATGGATAGAGACCCATCCTCCACCACAATCTTCCTGTCTCTGGCTGACGAGTTAAAAAACTTAATTGTGCAGTAACGTGGTTCACCTTTTTCCTCCCAACCTCGGTTGACACAAGTCAGGATTCTTCCCTCCACCAAGACTGTCTGACATGAACTTTACAAGAGAAAACTTAATGCTGTGAGAAAGTCTATAAGGTCCTGCTAGATAGCTCAGTGGCTTAGAGGTTGCGAGTTCGAGTCCCTGACAGGGGCTGGACTCAATGACCCATAGGATCCCTTCCAGCCCTGAGATTACTATTCTAAAATTATTATTATTATGGAGCTGTTTTGCAATCCTCTTTTGCTCAGAATCTCACTCCCCTTTCCAACCTCCCGTTATGGATTCTGATAACTTCAGGGGGTGTCCCCTCTGCGCTTGACCGCCATGAGGACTAGTGACCTTGCCAGTTTGTTTTTGAAAGGGGAGCCGAGACTCTTAAGGAGGTGGAAATTAGGATTTGGTCCCCATGTTGTGACCAGCTGGGAAATATCTGTCTATCCTGCTCAAGTTGAAAGGAGCCGTTGGCGATCAACTAGGGTGGGGCAACATTGGGTAGCATGTGGATCGCCTTCCCCCTTTTTCGGCATTCCTTAGATTGCCCTGAACCACTTCCATTGGGGAAAAAGTCGGCCCAAAAAGAGAATTTTCTGCTTTCTTTTGCCATTCTTCCACTTCACCTGTTCTCCTTTTTCCTCTGACCTTTCTCTGAACCATGCAGGAAGTTCTAGCTCATTTTTTAACTATAAAGCCATTGACAATAAAACATACCCATTTTTGCATCCTTACTTGCTAACCACACTGCTTGTTAAGTTTCTCGAAGCATGCGTCGCTGACAGATCCACGGAACTTGGGAGTGCAATTTTTTTTTAATCGCCAGCTCCCATCATCTTCACAGCCAGCCTCGTCTCTGGCCAAGGACTTTGCCAAATTGTGTGGTTGCATGCTCATTTTTTTTTCTTGAGACACCTCGTGGGAGTTGATTCTACATCCTTCCCTTATTTTCCCTTTATTTTTCGGAATTTTCTGAAATATTTGTGTCTATATGGTGGGTTTCCTCCATGCCAGCCGAGGACTACAGATGGATCTGCATGTCGGCTGGAGCTTGCTCCGAAGGAATGCATGGTTGCAAGCCTTCCATGATTTCCAAATAAGCAAACGGCATTGCAGATGGTGATGATGATGATAGATAAGCTTGGCTACAAGACCATGCAATTAAGTACAGTACATTCTTGATAGCAAGAAGAGGTGTCTGTGCTCTTAAGCTATAAAAAGAGAAGATGAGAATTGGCTGAAAAAGCATGGTGCTTGCAGAAGTTATTTATTTTTTTCAGAACCCCCCATGTAGAATTGGGCTTTGGGTGTCTGTATTTGAGAATCCAGACTGCATAAGTTGCAGACGTGATTACCAGCTGCCTGTATTGATGCCTCTGGAATCAGGAATTCGTCTGTTCTGTGGATTTCTGGACTCTTTTCCCGGCAGCGTCGGGCACAGAAACAATGTCTATGTTTATTGCTTGACCCCAAAGGTTCTCAAATATCAGACCAAATTATGCCAGCAGATAAAATCTCTGGCACATGTCCTTGGTTTGTTTTTCTGCATGCCTCTGTGTGTGCTTGATTCTGAACTCAATATGGGAGGCTGACCTTGTTTTTTTCCCCCCTGCTTTGTTGTCGTTTTGTGCCATCAAATCGCCTCCAACTTATTTTAGGAGCACAGAAAGTGTAGCATATCAATCCATTGAGCCCTGCGTGAGCCACCTGGCTTGACAGCATCTCTCAGACAGTAAAAGAGAGAAAGAAAGAGAGAGATCGTAGCTCGGTGATGTTGCACCAGGAAAGAGAGAAGATACTCCTAGGCTGAAATCCACAAGGCCCGCCACCCAAAAACATAGATTAGGAGGCAGATTTTGGGGTCGGCTGTGGAGACTGTATGAAGAGACAGGGGCTGGAAAAGCACCAGCCGTGAGTGAGAGGGGGTTACCGTTTTGCCCCTAGTTGTTTTTGTACTTTTGGAAACCTCAGAACTCTCTAGAGCCTGAAAAAAAATATCCTTCTCTTGCGTTTTTGTTGCAGAGTTTTGAATTTCTGGTAAAATTCCTTTGCTACACAGTAAAAGCACAGAGACTCACAAAGGAGAATAGCTACAAGTCCACCCAGATAGTCCGCCCCTTTCTCATTAGCTGGCACCTAAGGTCCCAATCACTCACTCGGAAACATTGGTAGGAGAAAGAATAAAAACCGTTTCGTTACTCACAGTTGTGAACAGATCAACAGCAGTGAATGCAACAGATGGAACAGAGTGAAGGAGAAGCTCTCAGCAGAGAGGCGGTTCTCTCTTTGAATTCAGAAGCAGGAAGAAATGATTGGTTAGTGTTGGATAGATTGACAGTCACTTAGCCCAGAAAGCACCTTCCAAGCTACACCTTGCATAGACAGCATGCGAGGTTGTGAAAACTCCAACAGATCTGGCATAGCCAGAGTCTTGTGTGCTTAGTCTATGGAATATCATAAATCAATTTATCCTGACTAGAAGAACAATTGTGCCTTTCTGCCTTCAACCGGCTGAAGGCATAGGATAGTGGGACGTATGCAGGGTCTCTGCATTGAGATCAGATGAAGGAGTAAAAGATATATATGGTGATCTTGGGCCGTTTAGCCTCCATCTCCATTTAGATGCTTTAATGAGAGGCCATGAACAGTTTCCCCTTTGAAATTTAGTTGGCTGGAAAGAAGCCTATTGATTTTCTTCACAAGAGCGGCTTTTATCCCCCTCCCTCCCCAAGAGGTTTCTGGGAGAGAAGAGGATGAGAGGGGAGAGCTGAGTTTCTCCTCCCTTAAAATCTGCGGAGAGGTTCAAGCAACTCTTATTAAAAAACAGTGAGAAAACGTAAAAGCTGGCCAGACGTTTTGGAGAAATGGCCAAAGAAAGCCTTCCGTCGTCAGCAGCAGTCTGCTGCGGCTGATGACATCATTAGCCTTAGGCTACCTGGAAGTTATATTCCATAGAAGGAGCTTTTCAATGATCCGTGTGCTCCGGAGGCTGCAGCATCATTTAACGTTTTGAAGGCATCTGATCCATTCCTTAGTTTTTCCTTTCGGGTAACCACAGCTCCGATTTGTCCAATGCAGGCCAATTCCCTTACGAGCAAAGAAGAGCCGCCTGTCACAGCACATCACATAATCTGTGAATTAATGGAATTTTTTTTTACCTGGGGCATCAGCCTTTTTTCCCTTCCCCCACCCCACCCCACGGTCAGCTTTTCATTTTCAGAGCAGCCGCCTGCGAAGGATTAATCAATGAGGGCTACTCAATTAATGCAAAGAGGGATGAGTCTGACGGGGAGATTTTCACTCCCTTGTTTGGTGCTCAACCTTTTATTTGTGTTTTTATTTCTGTTAACTAATAGATCATACTCCCTTCTCCTTCGTGGCAGGGAGCGATTACCAGATTATCTGCCAATATTGTTGTTTGGTCTTATGTCATGCTGGGACGTCGTCATTTCTGAAGTGCTGCTCCTGACCTTAAAATAGACTACTGGGAGCAGAGTCTTGCCCGGAAAAAGCAGAATACAAATAAATCGGACCATGATTCTCAGAATATTACCTGCGTCACACACTCATGGACTACAAGCCACTTTTGTGAAGGCTTATGGCAAAGAGAACTGATTAGACTTTGAAATTTATTTATTATTTAATTTATATACTGCCTCCATTAGTGCCGAAGCACTATTCACGGTGGTTTCGTAAACATTTAAAATAGAACCACAGCAAAACATGAAACATTTAAATATCCTATCAATAAAACAAAGTCTTTTTAAGGAGTCCCTAGGCTCATTATTGTTTTTTATGCGATCGTGCCTCTGTGTGTGTGTTTTCAGAGCAGCTCCGAGCAATGTCAGAAATGAAGTTACATAAGCCAAAACAACAATATTTACAGATAATTCACTAAGACTTGCAATTATGATTGAACTAGGCTAAACATGTCACGGAAATAAATGTGCATTAAGATGTGAACAATCCAGCCATGATCCACAGCAGGTCTTAAACTCTAAAAGAGAGAAAGCTTAGGTAGATTTCCAGATTCCTTTGCCTTTATTTTTATTACTGGCATTTTTGAACGGCTTCTTCTTCTCTTCCTGGGAAATGTATCGTTCGACTGTATTTTTCCAGAGCGAAGCTCATGATCCGATGACGATCCAATTTCCACTTCATTTCCATACGTCTGAATTCTCATTTTATTTTTAGCAGAGCTGTTTGCTTTGTTTTTTTTTCCATTTTGTTTTGGGTCGTTTAAGTTCCCTTTTGACATTCTTCAGCGCTCCCCCTCAACCACTTCACCGGCAGCTTTGCAGGAACGCAAATATCCCAGGATGACCTGCATATGCTTATCTTCTACTGATTTCCTTACCTCGATAGCCTGCTTTTCCTCCACTGAACGGAAGGCACTGGAAACCGCTGTCGTCTTCTCCATTTTTATCTTCACTGCACCCCTGCGAGATAGCTCAGGCTCAGACGCTGTGACTGGCTCGGGGTCACCCGATGAGTTTCATGGCTATGCAGAGATTTGAACCCAGACCTCCCAGATTCTAATCCTTTCTCCACGCTCGCTCGGTCTTTTCTCACCCAGACTCTTGGGGAGGAGAAAACCATTAACAGGGTAACTGCAGGAGAAATGAAGCCAGGAAGGAGTGCTAGATAGCTCAGTGGTTTAGGTCTCTGACCTACGAAGCCAGAGGTTGGGGGTTCGATTCTCCACTGTGCTTCCTTGAAAGGGATTATTAGACTCCATGATCCATGAGGTCCCTTCCTGCAGTTCTAAGATTTAGCTGCTGGATAGCTCAGTTGGTCTAAGCATCTGGTTGAGAGTTTGATTCCCCGCTGGGCCTCCTTAACAGGAGCCGGGCTTGACGATCTACTTTGCAGCTCTTAAGTTACCAGTAGAGGAGGCTTATAAGTAGAAGCGTGCCCTGAAGTTGAGTGGCATTTCTTACGCCTCTTGCAGATCCTAAATTACAGAAGCTCCATGTGGATTGCAAAAGGGCTTTTAGCCCGTGGCGCGAGGGCGAAAAGCTAAGAACTTCTGAGAACAGCCAGTTGGGTCTGTGTGGGACCCCGGAGAGGCATTTTCTTTTTGCTGCGTGCACATTTTTCACTAGAGAAAGCATCCATTAAAAAGGGAAGCCAGCTTCCTCGAATTCCAAAACCCTATTTTCCCCCCCTCCTGTTACTGAAAAAGGAGAAAAACAAGAGTATTAAAGCTCCTTCCTTGTTTTTCAGGAAATAGCAGGAAGCCTGTCGCCATCACCTCCCACTCCTCCTTTCGAGCGGCAAAAACAACTGTAATCTCGAGAAAATGGACATGCTTTAGATAGCCGGGTTAGAAAACAAAGAAGTCTCTAGAGTATCAAGGCAGGGGGTTTCGCATGAAGTAGCCGCAGTCTTTTGGACCATCCCCGATTGATTTCAGTGAAGCACAGATCCCTTTTTTTGGGGGGGGGGATCACCATTCCTTTAATTGCTAAGAGTGTGGTGGGAGCTTTGAGGAATTACAGCCAAAAAGGGCCAGAAAAAAGGAAAGCATTTGGACCATCCCCGATTGATTTCAGTGATTCCCCCCCCCTTTTTTGGGGGGGTCACCATTACATTAATTGCTAAGAGTGGGGTGGAAGCTTTGAGGAATTACAGCCGAAAAGGGCCAGAAAAAAGGAAAGCACAGCTGGATAGCTCAGTGTTTTAGGTCTCTGGTGGTGGATCCCAAGTTTGGGGGTTTGAGTCCCTCCTTGACAGGACTCTATGATCCATCAGGTCCCTTCCAATTCTGCAAATTCTAAGATGATGATGACTGCTGTTGTTTTCAAAGTCTGTAACCAAGGTTCCACGAATGGACTGCATAAAAGGAGCAACGCCGGGCCACGACTTACATAAACCCCATTGATTCCAGTGGTTGACTCTCGTTGGAATTACCCATTGATTCCAAACTTTGTTTTGCCCATTGAGTCCAGCCTGAAACTGCTCTGTTTTCTTTCCTCTGATGCTTTCCGCTGATGTTTTGTTTACAGCAGCCTTAACCAGCCCGCGATGCTATTTCTCTACGTTTCTTTTTTTAAACCTTACTTTGTTTCATCTGTCACGCAGCGTGGGCATTTAAAAGCGAGAGAAAAGGAAAACGGCAATATCCTATTTTCTAAAAGACATCAAGCTGCTCTTAAACTCAGAGGTGCCCTGACTTGAAGACATGATTGCCCTTCTTGCTGGGTTTGGCCAGGATGAGAATTATGGAAGTTGTAGTCCAGTGCCTCTTGAGGATGGTGGGAGTAGGAGGAAGCCTGGCATTTAAAGGTGTCTGTCACCCTAAGGACCCTAAGCTACCTGCACATGACAAAACAGTTTCTCTTTCTAAAGAGAGAGCATCTCAGAACCTCTTGTCCTTTCTGACAATTAGCAGCATAGCTATCTTAATGTCGTGGTCGGCAGGTTACAGGTGGCTCCTTTTACAGCCAAGGTGGGAAAGACAGCGCTTAGAAGCCTTATTTATTTATTTAACTTATATGCCGCCCACACTACCCAAAGGTCTCTGGGTGGCTTGCTCATTTTTCCAATCCTGATGGTGAGGAAGAATCTTTATTCCTACAAGCCTTCTCAAGCTGTGGTTCCCCTTTTAAAGATGGCTTGTGGGGCGTCCCAGACAGAGTTTTTGGAACCTAGAATTCATCTTCTGGCATCATTTCGGTTGGGGGCAGCTTATAGTGGTTTCCAGACTAGGAACCTGGACCCCCAAATCCTCCTGGCACCTCCCTCTCCATTTGATTCCATCTGTTCTTTTTGGTTTTTCCCCCCATTTTCTTCCCCAAACTAATCGACAAACTGACCAGACATGTTCTGAGTTCCAGTCTCGACTGAGGCCGCTGGCATGTGAAACGGTGCGTGCTGTCAGTGGCTCTGGGTGTGAGTGCGTGGATGGGTGCTTGGGCTCCTATTCGGACCTTGATGGCTCTGCCTCTCCTCCTTCTACAGGGTCAATCAACTCATGATGCCTCCAGCCTCCGTGAAAGTCTAAGGAGGTGAGTCACCCCTACACTGAGAAACAAGCAAACGCAATTTCCAATTCTTCGGCTTGATTCACTGGCAGACGGGAGCAGGAAGGATGTGCGCCGGTTGGCCTGATGTCTCCACCCTTCTTCTCCGACCTGCTAATTGATCAGCTTCAAACTTTGTTAGCTAGCTTGTCATCATCCTGAATTCCTGCCTAAACTATTGGACAGAGTTGTTGGAAGGATAAAAGGAAGAGAAGGTGATTTACATACAGTGCCTTGAGTTATTATTGTTATAATACTACGCTTGGAGTGGCCAGCCAGGATGCTCCGTGACTTCGAGAAAGTAAAAAAAGGACTTCTACACCAGTTGTCTGCCCAAGAACCTTACAGCGATAGTTATCTAGACATCCACTGTCTTTGGATCTTGTGTTTTAGTTTGTTTTTGTCAGAGACAAACTCCGAATCCATTGCAAATGGACTTCATCAGGCCACCAACAGCCCTTGTAATAAACAGCCATTGTGTGGTTTCCAGTAAGAAATAGCCCTCCGTCCACCACACTTTAAAGGCCCAATTCAGTCGCTCCTAAAGACCTGCGCGAGGCTTTTGAGTAGAGAAGGGAATCTATTTTCCGATCCTGCTGTCTATAGCCTGTTGGATTCCGGTCACGTTCTCTTTAATGGTCCGAGCCGGTACAAAGGATGGGAAAAACAGACCCAGCTCTTTCTGTCCGCCTCTCCCTGCCTCTCTGAAGGCTCGTGTCGTCCTTCCCCTGCGCTAACAGCTCCTCTTTTGTTTCTTTCCCCGCACAGCTGTCCCCATCTCGGGCCATGAAGAAGACCTTTTGTGAACCCTGGCTTCCCTGAAACGCCCAGACAAGCACTTATAATCGGAGAATTCTCCCCCGGTTCCACTCTCTCTGCGCTCAAGGCAAAGTAGGAGGGAGAAGAGCAGCGGGTGACCATCCTCGGACCGGTCAGGATGTCTTCAGACCAAGATGGAGGTCTGCTCTTGTAGGTCGTCCTCACGCTCCTGATCTAGAAGGACCCTTCGGAGTGGGTGCTACTTCTTCCCTACTTCTCCTGGCAGACATCAACTGGACAACTGTGCATTGGTGTTCACTTCCGGTGAAGAAAATCCTCACTTTGGCCCATCAGCCAGGTGCTCGCTCCTGATTTGACTCACTGCTGCTTTTGGTGATGGTCTCATCTCCGGCCAGATGCCTTGTCCCGGCCAGACAAGCGAACCTTGCGGCTTCTAGTTGCCCAACCTAGATGCATTTATTATTATTTAAATCGCCCCGTGGGTTCTTCGCCTTTGTTTTTCTGCAGAAGGGCGAGGAAGCTGGCCTAGATGGATGGCGTACGTTTTTTATAATTTAAGGGTGTTGTTTGCACTAGCTGGAGCTACCTCAGACCCACCGTCAGGTTTGCTCTCGGACCGGCGTAACTCGGGCGCTTTCATTTTCCATAAGGAATTCTGGGAATTCCAAGTTATCTGGAGAGGGAGGGGTAGGGAGAAAAAGGCCGCTCAAAATGAAGATTCAGACTGCTCTCGTGTGACATTTACCCACCCGTGGGTGTCATCCAGGACAGAGAAGTGGTTGGCAAGAGGTTTTTTTTTTCAAAGGTGGCCCCCTCCATGCGAAGGAATTTTGAACAGCGCTCTTTTTTTCACATCCATGCGAAGCAGAGAAGATGGGCTTTATATTCAGTTCTCATGCTACTGTTCTGCTACTGCTATAGAAGTTGGTGGCCGCCATTTTGAAAAGAAGGGTGTCCATTCCCTTTGGAGAATGCAAAAGGGGGAACTCTGTCCACTCGGTCTGGATCTCCTCTAACATCACGTCTCCGGTCTCTGTGGTGTGTGTGTGAGAGAGAGAGAGACAGAGGGGGGGGCTTTCCAAAAGAACTGTTGGCCCAACCAACTCTGGTGCTTTTTCGTTGCATCGAACGGCATTGCTGATGTTTTCCGCCCAGATGTAGCCAGACGGTCTCCCTCCACTCACGCCCGCCAGATTCCTATTGGGTGTCCCCCAGAGCAGCTAATTGGCGATGTGACTGGGCACCCATTGGGTTGTACAATTGGACCCGTGGACCTGTTGGGGCCATAGATCTTACGTGAATGCCAGAAGGATTCTGGCCACTTAGTGGCAGAATCCACATGGAACCAAGATGTCTGTGGTCGGGGCTCTGAAGCATTCACACCTGACCAGCAGATAATTGGGATTCTCTTCCCAATTAGACCCCTTGGTCAGTAGGATCTGCATCATTGTGGGCTCACCCTTCAATAAGGGACTCAGGTAGGGCTGCTGGACAGATTTTAGTAGCCAAACGGCAGGTACAGGTTAAAAAAAATGTTCCCCCTTCCAAATCTTTTCCCCAATACATTTGATTTTTTAAAAAATCCCCTTATATGCAGGTTAAGCTTCCTAGGGCCTCTGCTGGACCACAGCTGCTCATCAGGACCATGGCTGAGGTCAAAAACTGACAATCCCAGTCCATGGTGCCCCCCCCCGTGATGCGATAAAGCCCTATTAAGGCCCACCTCCCTCTCTTCGTTAACCAACAAGGGCAGTATTTTTTGCTTTCATAGGGACAGTGAACCTTCCTCCCAACTTCACAGGAGATTTTCGAAGTGCATAACCCTGCTGTCCAAAACGGGCTCCATGGTCTGCCCTTTAAATTTCAGGCTGAAACCCGGACTGGAGCCACTGCTCCTCTGAAACCGGATTCACCACCACCGTTGGTCCTAGTTCGAGGGGCAGCTGGAGAAAAAAAAACATTAAGGAGCACAAGGCAAAACTACCTGCATATGACGGCAAGGAGTCCCCCAGAGAGAAGGGGGAGTTCACAGGTCTCCTTCAGAGCCGGATCAGGCCCTTCAATGGCGAGATGAGACTTATCTGGTAGAAAGAAGGTGTCTTAGTTTCTTTTTCCAACATCCCCTGAGCGGGCAGCCTTAGAAATGCAAAACCAGCCAAGGATTCTTAGTTTTGCATTTGTTAAACTGTTTGGTGTGAGAATGTAGGAATGGGTAAGCTTTGGAGGGGACACAAGACTCTGTTGCAAAGAATGGCAAAGAAGCGGCAAAATCTCAGCAGCACTCGAAAATAATTTCAGATATACAGGAGGAGGTTGAAAAGGGTCTTTCTGGCTTCAGCTGAAAAGAACCAGAGGAAAGTTTGTATTTTCATCATCTAGATGAACCAGGATCATCTATAAGCGTAAAGCTCAGAGAGATAATAGGGAGGCCACCCTACCACACCTTTGACCCAGCCCTGATTATCATTGGGATCTGGTAAAAGCTCTGTACGTACTTTTTTCTTCTTTTTAAATAAATAAACCCTTCAACAATCACATTTGATGACAGGGGAGGGGAGAGCGGTGTACATGTTTTCTTGTTATACAAGGCAGGACTCAAAAAAGTCGTTTTCTGATTTTCTTTCAGAAGCAAAGAACAAAAAAAAGACATCAAAAGGCTATTTTATTTTTTAAAGAGCGATGAAATTGATTATGGCTCTCAGAGTATAAGAAAAGAAGGTCAAATTATATATATAAATATATATATAAGTATATATATATACATACATTGTTATGTAAATTAAGAAATAAAAAGTATTTAAACACTTATTTGTTTGCTGGTAGTTCTTAGCTTTTGAATCATGCCCCTGCTATGTACTTTGTTGTGGGAATTTCTACTCCATGGGAAGTACAGTGGTGCTCTGCTAGACGATAATTCGTGCCACTGAAATCATTGTTTAGCGAAATCATTGTCTAGCGAAAAGCATTTCCCCATTGGAATGCATTGAAACCTGTTTAATGTGTTCCAGTGGGGAAGAATCGTCATTGTCTAGCGAAGATCAGCCATAGGAAAGCCGCTTTGCGAACTGCCGATCAGCTGTTTCAATCGCTGCCTTGCAGAGCTTAGGTCCCGAAAACACCCATTTTGCGAGCGCGGAGGGAGCTGTCAAAATCGTCGTCCAGCGAAAATCGGTTTGCGAAGCAGGGACCAAACATTGTCCAGCGAAATTCCCCCATAGGAATTACTGTTTTGCGAATCGCTATAGCGATCGCAAAAAGCCAATGTCTAGCGAAAAAACTGTCATGTGGGGTAACTGTCTAGCGAGGCACCACGGTATTCAACTGAAATCTGGCTTCCCTGAGTTTGAGTCGTGATGATGTGTCTTGCACTCTGGGCTGATGGAGAACGGATCCTGCCCCTCCTCTGCAAGACTTTCAGTTCTTTGCAAAGGGCTGTCCTATCTCCCTTTCTCCTTGCTTGGAAGAAACTCACCACATCTCAATCTTCGGCGATGCGAGTCCTGCTTCCATTGGCCAGGATTACATCCCACACATTTTTGACCAGTTTTAAAGAACAACACAGGCTGAAATCCTGTGGCGCCACTCCGTGTGCCTAACAGTGGTGAGATCATCAGCCGTGGGAAATGGCTGCCGATGAATGGCTTCCTTCGAGGATTTCCGGGTCCCTGTAACTTCGTTACAAATGGTCTTGAATCGGGACACGCTGAGATTTGCCTTGGTGACCACTCAATGCGCAGAGAAAATCAGCCATTTCTTTCTGAGTTTCTCAGCTGCTTCCCGCAACCTGCTTTCTTCCTTTTAAAACCAGAAAGCCCCGTTCCTGAAATCCTCGCGGAGGGGGAGAGTAACTTCTGCGGCCGTCCCAGCTGCTGTGCAGCTCCTAGTTAGGTACCCCTTAATTCTCCCTTGGGTCAGAACATGTTCCGTTGATCACGCTGTACCATCTGTCGTGGCTCATCTCTCCAGAGAGGATGGTGATGTGTTTTTTTCTGGGCTGCAGACAACCTAAATCCTTGATGTTTCCCGGGAAGACATGTCAGGCTCCAGGAAAATTCCAAATGCCAAACAGGGCACTGTTTATGCGACAGGCGCCTCTCCACCAAGCGAGAGGGTGGCCGCCACAGGTTCCCAGAAGGGACAACCTGACCTCAAATCGACCGTGTGTGGCTTTTTGGCCGAAGGTGCTGCCTAAACGTAATCTCCAGCTTTTTAAAGATGAGCTGCTGCGCCTCCCGAGTGATTCTCAACAACAGCTGTGGTGCGTTTCAAACCATCCTCCTTCCACAGGAGGGCATGGAAAGGTAAAATGATTTGCCTTCCCTGGCAAAGAGGGTGGGCTTTTTTTGTACAACTCTATAACGAGAGGAGAGGATCAGAAGGGGGGTGAGTGTGTCTCTTTTTGTGCAAATTAGCACAAAATCTGTAAAGAAAGCTACACTTCATAGAAACACACACACAACCTCTCTTTAGCACGGAACATCTGCATCTTTCTGCCAGTCGTAGGATGCTCACTCTGCATGTGTAGGATAGGACCCTAAATGGATGTTGGGGTTGGTTCGCGCTGGTTCCACTTCTTCCTGATCTCAAAGCACCCCACGGTGCTAAGATCTGGTCTGCTCGGGATGTCTCTTAATTTTCTAGGCAAGGCCTGCACACCCCAGCAAAGAAAATGCCGCATTCTAGACACGTGCCCCCGCCTCTCTCCCCCCCCCGACTTCCTGGTCAGCACTGATCTGTGCCTTTGGGTGCCAGAGGCTCTGCCCCCGCCTGCCCTCTCTTGCATTGACTTGCAGAACGTGTGACCCTCCATCCATCAGAGCAAGCCTCCAGGGACCACAGGATCGTAGAACCATAGAGGGGGAAGATAAACCGAGGATCATCTAACCCAGTCTGGAAATACTTGGGAAATACTCCTTCTTTCCTTCCTTCTCTTTCTTTCCTTCCTTCTCTTTCCTTCCTTCTCTTTCTTTCTTTCCTTCTTTCCTTCTTTCCTTCTTTCCTTCCTTCCTTCCTTCCTTCCTTCCCTCTTTCTTTCCCTTTCAACTATTTTTACCCTGCCATTTCCCATTAAACGGGCCCGAGGTGGCTTACATCATTAAACGACAATGTATAAAGCTAAAGCCAGTGAGTCTACAGATAATGAAAGGGGTCAAAACAAATACCAGACGAAAAAACATAAGCAACCTCAAAACACTTGCAAAGCCTTAAGGCACAACCATCCATTCAAAAGCCCCACTCGGGCAGCCAGTCACTCTGGGAAAGCTCGCCTGAGGAGGAAGATCTTTGCCTGCATGCAGAAGGAGAGAGCAAAGAGGTGGCCAGCCTGGCCTCCAGTGGGAGGGAGTTCCACAGTCTCAGGGAGTAGGCACAGAGAAGGCCCTCTCCCGCGTCCCCACCACTGAGACTCACTGTTTTGGTCAAGCGTGCTGAGGAAAAGAGAAAACAAGGGCTGCAGAGAGATGTCAAAACACGTTCAATAAATCAATAAGCCACAACCCACCGACCGCCTTGGCTGAGCGTCTCTCACGTCAAACCTCCCCGTGGTTATCAGGGCCGTGAGGGAGACGCAGATGGCAGCCGGCACCATGGTTTCTTGGCTCAAGACGGTGAAGCCGCTCGAATGGGCCCGTCTGGTGGCCGAGGCGGCCTTTGTCAACCAACGGGGGCTCCGTCTCCCTCGACCCGAAACTTTCGAAAGCCATTCCAAACGCTCTCTTAGAGGGCTCCCCTCCTCTTCTCTCCAGCACAATCGGCGAACAGCTGTTTCCTTCAAGGAACGCACAGAGGGGGGCCGTTCCCGCTGACTCGTTAAGGAATAATTAAAGCTTGAACTTGAAAGGGGGGGGAAAGAGATCACGTGCCGTCTTTGAGGCTCTCATCTGACACCCGCACACAAACAGCAGGGAAGGAAAAAGACCCGAAAGGAGAAATGTAATGCTGTCCCCTCCGTCGGCCAACGGTTCTTCCCGACTTACACCGAGCGAGGTTCGAGCGTTATGAAAGGACCCACGCACTCACGCACTCCTCTCTCCTGCCAGCTCGATTCGCGGGCAAAACAAAGCAGGTCCCAGCAGGCAAAACATAAAAAATAGACATAGAAATTAAAATTTAAAACAAAGAAAACTGGAAAGAAAAAAAACCCTAGCATTTCAGCTTCTTCTTGGCATACTAGATTTTTGTGTCGAAGTATATGGAGATCTATGTGATACACACACACACACACACCCCTTGCTTCACAACTCTGCCCATTCATTTTGAAAGCCACATCTTCCTGAAAATATGTCCATTTTCTAGGGACTGGGAAGAGATTTCTTTTCACAAGGGGGTCTACTGCTTCACTGACCTGTTTTATTTCCAGTTCTCTCTTCCGTCACTTTATTTTCGCCCTTAACCTTTTTTCCTCATAAAGACTTCTTATGGGAAACTGCCCATAGTAGACCTTTGGTCTAGAATGGTTGGGATAGAAATCCAATAAATAAACAAATAATTTTTTTTTTAAGTTCAAACTGCAAGACAGCCTATACATGAATTCACTCATAGGGACACACAAATGTACATGTCAACACACCCACACAGAGAAGGATTTGATCAATAAGATGCCTTGAAGCCATATCAGTCCACATACAGGATTTTCTACCAATTTCCCGTTTAGAAGCACTGTTTTGATTCATTTTTGTCACCCATTTCCCCTGCTGGGTCCCAATAATCTCAAGGGTGAAGTGTTTCATGGCGGATTGAAGATTTGAACTCAGGTCACCCAAGACTTAGACCCACCACCCTAACCGCTGTACCACGCTGCCTCTCTTGAGCACATTGGGTCACCCCAGAAGAACCTAAACGTTTTTTTCCCAACACAATCTTGTCCTTTGCTGCTTCTTAAAAACTGATCTTTATTTAAGGATTTTTAAAAAACCATTTTGCTCTCTATGTTGTACATACAAAAAAGTATATACATACACCAATAAACAACCCGAAGCTATTGACGTATCAGATACTTAATCAAAGAGATCGGGATCAAATCGATCAAATGTTTCATGGAGCTGTCAATGTGCAGCTAAGTTTAGAGTTACACGTTTAGTTCTAAGCATCAAATACACGACACTTTTTCAACAGAAACCCAGGGTGTGCTTTTGAGGTCCTCTATCTTAGATCCTCTTCCTCTGAGTGTGTGCAAGATTACAAAAAAGCACCCACACAGCACATAAGTGTCGGACAACGGGGATGGATGATCAGAATCGCGTGACCGTGCAAAAAAATGGATGTTCTGCATTGAAAAAGAGTTACTTCTGCCTTCCTTCAGACTTTGAAACCCCCTCCTGGAGGCCCCCAAATGACAGACGGTGCCCCCCCCGAAGCCTGTGGGGGGCCGTGATGTGTCATTTTTACGTCAAAGAAGGGCCGAGGATCTGACTTAGGACTGAAAAGACATTTCAGGAACGGAAGCAACTGGCTGCTGTTGTGTTTTTTTTAAGAGGGGGAAAAAGTGATTTTTCAGCTTTGAAACACACCGAGCAAATCAGTCGGGAATTAATAAAAACGGTATTATCGTGCCCGCTTCACGGGGGGCATATGGGGTGCGTTAAAGGGCTGCACGTGGGCCATGGGACGGCTGAATTGCCCGCTATTTCTCTGTATGCTCAGAAAAAATCCACCGCGTCTCCCTCCCGCTCCTCAACCTGTTTGGCTCGTCGCAGAAGGCGTTTCCGTCTTTTTCCCTTTCTTCTTTGGCTTTTTCTTCTTCAACCCCTCGGCCCGGGCCTGAGTCTTTCTGGACACCCCGGGCAGCCGCGTCGCCTTCTTCGCCGGAGGACCTTGTCCGGATCCTTCGCCCTCGGTTCCTCCGCTGGCTTGTTGCTGCTTCTTCTTCTTCTTGTTCTTCTTCTTCTTCCATTTCCTCTTCTTCCCCGCCAGGCCGGTGCCGGTTTCCTCCACGACGGTCTCGTGGCTGCTCTTCTCGGCCCCCTCCTCTTGGGACTGGCCGGCGGTGGGCACCTTCTTACGGTTTTTACGGATCTTGGTCGCCGGAAGAAAACCTTTCTTTTTCCGTTTCAGAGGCTCGACGTTGCTCGTCTTGGCAGGCTTGGTGGGGGCTTTTTCCTTCACCGGTCTCCTGGAAGTCAAGAGTAGAGGCACACACGTGAGATACATTACAGCAGGACCCCTTATCCACGGGATCAATATCCACTTATTTACTTATTTAATTTATACCCCGCCCATCTAGACTGAAGTCTACTCTGGGCAGCGATCCATGATCTAAAAATATTAAAATAAAATTCTCCGCCCATCTAGACTGAAGTCTACTCTCGACGGCTATCCACGATCTGAAAATATTAAAATAAAATTCGAGAAATATGTATTTCTAAAGATGAAGTTACCAGAACTGGCGACTAGAGGGAGCCAGAGACCACGCTATAGCATTTGCTAAGCAAATGTATTTCCATGGTGTCATTATGAGAACTGGCCACTAGGAGGAGCCAGAGACCATGCTAGGTATAGTGTTTGCTATATACATTTTCATCATCCACGGGGGTGGGGGGCTTAGAACTGATCCCCCACGGATATGGGGGTCCTACTGTATTTTAGGAATAACAAAACAGAATGTTGTCTCCGCTACACAAACACCATTGTCGGGGAAGAACTACCAGTGGTGCCTTGCTAGACGATGATAATCCCTTCCACTGAAATCGCTGTTTAGCAAAATCATTGTCTAGCGAAAAGCATTTCCCTATTGGAATGCATTGAAACCTGTTTAATGCGTTCCAATGGGGAAGAATCGTCGTTGTCTAGCGAAGATCGGCCACAGAAAGCCGCTTTGCAAACCGCCAACAAGCTGTACAAATCGCTGTCTTGCGAAGCTTAGGTCCCGAAAACACCCGTTTTGCGAGCGCGGAGGGAGCTGTCAAAATCGTTGTCTAGCGAAAATCGTTTTGCGAAGCAGGGACCAAACATTGTCCAGCGAAATTCCCCCATAGCAATCACTGTTTTGCGAATCGCTATAGCGATCGCAAAAAGTCAATGTCTAGCGAAAAAACTGTCACGCGGGGTAACTGTCTAGCGAGGCACCACTGTACGTAACAGACATAGTTGTTCTCAAACCAACAGAATTCGTACGGGCTGTTCAGATCCCATCCTCTTAAACCAGGAAGTGAAACCTCAGATGAGGAGCTGAGAACTTCAGGCTTTGAAGCTGGATTAGAATCTGGGGTTCCACCCAAGTCCACCCACCCTTCTCCCTCACCCCACTACAAGGTTGCTCCCCCAATTTAGCCAAGGGAGTTTCCCCCAATTTAGTGGCCATTTGCCTCCTGAAGCTAAAACTGCTGGCAAAGCCAGAGGTCGGGAGTTTGATTCCCCTGTCGGGCCTCCTTCATAGGGGGATGGACTTGATGACCCCCAGGGTCCCTTCCAGCTCTCCAGTCCTAAAATTATAAATATGCAACCGCCACTGGTCCCTAGCCTGACCGATAACTAGAATCTGGCCCTGAGGAACTCCTTTGCAATCAGATTTGGTCCCCGAGCCGAAAGAAGTTTCTAACGCTTCAGTTTAAGGTGGAGATGCTGGAGGTTGAACTCCGAAGCTCTTCTGAGCCAAAAAGTCACCCGAATGGTGAAGACCCCCATTAGAATTGCTTCTTTATTTATTAAACATATTTAACTTTCGGCTCTTTATGTCCCGCTGTATCTTGCAATCGTTCCCTGCTTCTTTTTTTCTTTTAAAAGCAGCCCGGTCGGATCAGAAATGGCCAAGCTGCGGATGATGGGATCTGCAAGGAAAAGTCCCTGCAGGTACCTACACGTAGCCCAGGAGCGTCATCACATTCCAGTAGGTATCCTCAAGCCGGACGGATTTCCCGACACCTCCGTGCGCCCCCAGCTCCTGCAGCACCACACGCAGCTCGGACAGCTCCACGCTGAGATTCTGAAAAAGAGATGGGGAGACCGGCCGGAGGGTTCAGGGTCCCAGAAAAAAGCAAGATGGTGCCTCTGAAACAAGTCACCCAAAGCTGTTCATTCTGGGCCCCCGTTTGTAAACCAACTCTCCCTTTTAAATCCTGGCCTCTTTTGGAGAAAACATAAAAACTGCCCACCCCTTGTCAAACCAAGAGTACAGTGGTGCCTCGCTAGACGATGATAATCTGTTCCACTGAAATCACTGTTTAGCAAAATCATTGTCTAGCGAAAAGCATGTCCCCATTGGAATGCATTGAAACCTGTTTAATGCGTTCCAATGGGGAAGAATTGTTGTTGTCTAGCGAGGATCGGCCATAGGAAAGCTGCTTTGCGAACCGCCGATCAACTGTTTAAATCACTGTCTTGTGAAGCTTAGGTCCCGAAAACTCCTGTTTTGTGAGCGCGGAGGGAGCTGTCAAAATCGTCGTCTAGCGAAAATCGGTTTGCGAAGCAGGGACCAAACATTGTCCAGCGACATTCCCCCATAGGAATCACTGTTTTGCGAATCGCTATAGCACAATCGCAAAAAGTCAATGTCTAGTGAAAAAACTGTCATGCGGGGTAACTGTCTAGCAAGGCACCACTGTATGAGCTAGCCAAGATGGTCAAGGGCCAGATGAGTTCATGCTAAGCCAGCCGCTAGGGATAAGAGTTCCAGATTTTCTGAAACGGGAATGCCGTAATTCTCCTTCCGGATAGTTCTACCTCACTGACAAGGCCTAAATCTAATAAGGCATCCAGAAGAAAACCACCGGTCTATGGCGTCTTTAAAGCTCTCTGCGAGCACCACGTGTCAAATGAATCAATTCTTTTCCCATCTGCTTTTTTCACTGCCTGGCTTACACGCAGTGGTCGAGAATACAATAACGTGGATGATTTTGGCCTTGGTCTCCGGGGACACATCCTTAGAGCGAAGCATCTTTTCTAATTCAGTCGTCGCTGACCTTCTGCGTCTCGGCCCTCTTCATATTTTTTTTGCCTGCTGTCTGCATCTGGAGTGTTGTCTGAGCCGAGCCACAGAAAATAATGGAACAGGTTTTGATGGCTTCATCGTTGACATTCAAGTTACACGATTCTTCTGGTGTCCAAGATGAGTTTAGGAACATCACATGCCAGCCGGGACATTTGGGCAGTTTTCATCCGCCAAGGATGATGTTTCTAAGCTCTCTCCAGAAGCAAGTAACGTGGTCCAAGGGGCCACTGGGTCACAGACACGGATCAGGGAGGAGAGATTAGAACAGTGGTCAGTCTCTAACCTTGGGGCCCCAGATGTTCTTGAACTCCCAGAAATCCAGGCCAGCAGAACTTGTAGTGAAGACTTCCAGATGTTCTTGGAAGTTGTCGTCCAAGAACATCTGGAGACACAAGGTTAGGATAGAGGGATAGGAAAACTCGGTGAGCCAATGGAAACGGTCTTCTCATCAGGTCCTTCCATCAAGATGGGTTTTTTTTCCAAGAGGTGGGACCTCTTAGAGGCCGGTGGGCAGAGACTGGGTCTTGGAGCGTTCAATCAAGTGGCATGTCTAGTTTTACAGGGAAATGGGTCTCCTCCGATCACACAGATAGCTTTGATGGGGAGCTGACGTTTTGGGGACTCCGTGTAACCGACCAGCAATCTCTCTCTTTCTCAATTTTTTTTTCTAACGGGGAATCAAACCAACAAGCCGATAAGGAGAATTCCCCTTGGCCCGTTTTCTTGCTTTCTTCCCACCCACATTTTAACGAGCCAAAAACAGCCACCCTTCGCCCAAAAGCAACCCAGATGTTGTCTTTGGAGGGCTGGAGAGGGTGGGACATGGGACACGTTGTCCACGAACACAGAACATCAGTAGAGAAAGTTACCCACTGCCACGAATCAGTGCTCAAGAATTCTCTCTCTCTCTCTCATTCCCACACTTACTCTAACGCAGCTTCGGAATTAAAACAAAGAGTTAGGTTCTCCGATTTAATTCCATCCACGCTCCCAGATTTTGGACCAAGAAGCGCAGATTCTTTGCTAGAAACACGAGAAGCAGGAAGACAAACCATATTTGCAATAGCAATTTATAAGAGTAGGAGCTCTGGATTTAAAAAACAAAACAAAACAGAGACGACACATTTAAGAGCACAGGTACCTCTTTGGTCGCCGTCCTGATGAGATAATTCAGCAGCTCCAGGCACTTGAGGACTTTTTCTTGGTCGACCTTGACCTTGAATTCGTTTGTCATCTTTAAAGTCTACAAAAAAAGGGGGGAGGGAATGCTTTACTTTGGGAAAACAAGAAAGGTGATTTTCTATAAAGAGGGACCTCAGTGTTTAGGTCCTTATTATAAGCAATTTAACCGAACGCTTATGTAATTCACCCACTGGATGCCAGCCACGGATGTGCTTTTAATGGGGTTTTCATCTACAGTATCCCTGGGGGATCCACTGCAACCCCTCCACGAATGCTAAAAAACACGGATTGTCACGAACGCTATTATAATAACAGCAAAGGCTATAATACGTGGTCCCTGGCTCACTCTAGTGGCCAGTTCTGGTACTGACAAGGACGGCCTTTCCGCACGGTTTCTAAAATTGTTCTAAAAAAGATTTGACAAAAACATCTGTTTCTGTACAAAATTCGTCTCGCTCTCCTTTGTTAGGCGTTCAGGGTGCCTGACCCACAAATAGCAAGCACTGGAGTGCGGGATGTGTAATTCTGGGCTCAAGCTACAGGAAGCCAGATTTCAGATGCATCTCCGGAAAAACTTCCTGACTGTTCGAACAGTACGACGACGGAAACTAAAACTTCCTGACTGTTCGAGCAGTACGACGACAGAAGCCATGACCTCGGGAGGTGGGGAACGCTCTAACACTGGAGGCATTCAAGAGGACATTGGACGAGCATCTGTCTGATCTGCTTCGGCTTGGATTCCTGCAGTGATGGCCTTAGTGGCCTTTTCTGAGCCCATTATTTTATGATTCTACGGTCCTATGAACGGAAAAGGCCGATTGCTCACAATGATACAATGCATTCGGCTCTCACAGGCCCCCCCATCCTCTTTTGTATGCAAACTCACCTCTTCCTTCCAGGAAGGAGGGAGGGCACATTAAAAAAAACCCAAAAGACAAATTATCCCCGGGGGAAGGATGTTAGAGGCTCTTTCAAAGGCCAGAAAACCCCCAGTGTTGGAGAAATCAATAAATCGACAGAAAAGCAAATCGTTATGCACGCCGTCCTCGCTCTTGGGTTCATGTTTCCTGAGCCACCACAACGTTATCAGTCACGATCTGTTTTGGTTTAAGAGGGATGCATGTAAACAGATGTGCCCGGCGGGCGTTGGGCTCCGTGAGCAAAAGACAAAGCCACAACGAGAAAGGCAGCCGTTGCGAGACACAGAAAAAGTCAACACTCGAGACCAAACCGGAAAGCAGAGGAGAGTGTTTTTTTTTGTTGGCCTCTCCAGCTGGTCAATGGACTACAACTCCCATCCACCCTGGCTTGCTGAGGCCAGGCGTGATGGGAGCTGTCGTCGCAGAACACCGGAGCCCCAAAGGCTTTCATTCAACATGATTTTTCTTTTTTCTTTGCGGTGAGACACAGAACCGAGTCCCTTCCTGCCTCAAGCGGGGGGGGGGGTTGGTTTCGATGGCCTTATAGGCCCTTTCCAACTCCATGATTCTACGATTCTACGCATTCATCCAAGCCACTCAATGAGTCCTTTATCCTTGTCATTTTGCAGCAGGCAAACCAGTTCCTTGGGATGTATTTTTAAAGATCGTTCCCTGCACCATGTAAACTAGAAACTTGATGCTCCTTTAAAACGGGGACGCCGAGGGCTGAAATGCCTTGGGTGCAAAGGCACGCGAGCTGGGCCTCCTGGATCTCTCTGAACAGCTAAGCGGTTTGCAGGCAACAGAGGCGCCTGGAATCCAGCCAGTCTTGTTAGTAACACATCCCAGTGAACTTGGGAATCACGTAAGGTCAGGCCATCCTTATGTAAGCTCGCCGAGAGGCAGAATCCGCGAGCGAGTTGGGAGGCTATTTCGGGCAACATTACAAATGTGGTCTTCCCCACCTGCCTTGTTCCATTTCTTTCGGCTCTCCGGTTACCCAGCATGTTTAAATAGATTACCGGAGCGCTCCAACGGGTCCCGCTCCTACAGCGGCCGAGCCCCTCCGTAGCAGGTTGGCGCGGAGGGCTAAACAGGGGGTGCCTTATTAAATTACAGGGGAACCGCCGTATCTGTGGGAGACCGGTTCCAAGCCCCCCTTCCCGCGGATGCTGAAAAACGCGGATGTCGTGACAAGCGTCACTGAGACGGAGGAAGGATTTAGAACATCGACCAACAACCCTGAAGTGCGGGACAGCTGAGGCTTAATTATCCAGTCTCTCCTGAGAACCAACCCGTTCTGACCCGTCGGCTTTTCCAGGCGAGACTCACAGCCAGAGGAGCGACAAGCACGAAGAGATTGGCTTGGGAATTTTTAACCCTCTCTGAAAACCGAATCAGGACCTCTTACCCGGGTGACTTGATCCGTGCTCTCGCAAATCAACGATTCCCAGTCTTTTTCCGACATCGAGGCCCTGAAATCTCGGGTCTGCAGAGCTTTCAGGAGAAGCATGCACGCCTGAGCCTAAAACCAAGACATCAAAGAGAAAGAGAAAAAATAAATGAAATGTAGAACGTTGCTCCTTTAAGAACGGGAAGGCAATGAATACATGCATGTACCCTTTTCACATACCCACCCACACACTGGATCCAGAATTCCTTAATACACCCCAGAGTTATCACTTGTCAAGAAATTTGATTATATCCCTTATGGCCTTAATCAAGATAATGGGGTTTTTCCACTGCTACCATTTATTATCTCAGCAAAGGCAAGATTCTTGTATACTCACAAGCATTACTTCGTACTTATTCCACCTACAGTTTAAACATAATTGCCCCATTTTCTCTAGCCTGGGTCCCTTCTACGCTCATGAATCTGCCTTAAGGATCTGTCAAACTGTGCATAATGTTCCACGCATCTAAAAATAGCATTAACCAAGGAAGCAAAGCGGACGCGCAACCATCTTGGCTTTTGGGAGCTTTGCAATAGCTAGACAGAAAAATATTGTAAGTAAATTGACTGGTTTAAAATTTATCAGTTTTAAGTGCTCTTCTGGCCCACGGCCATCTCCTACGCCATTTTGTAGCTCTGAAGTTTCTTCCGTATAATCTAAAATGGGTCCTTTCCTTAAAACCAGGATGTAAAACTACAGCAATTTTTTTTTAAAAAAATGAGGAACCAGAGGTTGGCAGTTCGATCCCTCACTGCACACCCCAGAAGAGCCAGACTGTGTAGCCTTGGGCAAGTCGGAAACTCTCAGGGCACACAACCCCCCCCCGCAAGAAGAAGGCAGTGGGAAACCACTTCTAAATACTGTACTTTCTACCTCCAATACCCCAAAAAGGGTTGCCAATAGAGACGGGCACGAAGCACCAAACTGGTTCGTTTTTCAGCCAAACTGGTGTTCAGCGGTTCCCAGCTCCACCTCCGGCAGGCGTCCAACTCAAAGGCAGCGCCCAGCTTCCCTGCCCTGCCTTCTCTGGGGGCCCGCGGGAGGAAGCGGATCCGGGAACTGCCAAACATTTGTCTGGCCGAAAATAACGAACTGGCACGAAGCCTGATTCGGCAGTTCGTGCCCATTTCTAGTTATCGTTAAGCCACAGCTAACTTGACAGCACGTTATTATTATTATTAAGCCAGGCGTGACGAACCTCCACCTTGTGAGATCAAGCTTGCCTGCACACGTTCCGGCACCCAGCCCGGGTGTCGTCCCCCCCCGGAGCCGCCCCCGAAGCCCCTCCCCTATAAGCTACTGCAAATACCAAAAACTGC